CACCACCAATTATTTACAACATATATATATATATATATATATATATATATATATATATATATATATATAAAAGCAATTTTTTTCATATAACGATAACTCGATAAATGTTATAAAGACAATGAAAACAAAAAAAACGATAATACAATATATAATCTTAAATAGTTAAATGAATCACGAGACTCTCAAAACATTATTCAATTATTTAGAATATGTTTGTCATTGTGTTATATTCGCCAATCATCAACAACAATCATAATATAAAATGAGATATCGTCAAATTTAGAAATTAGGAATAGTAAAATACTTACTTGTTTAATTACAGTTAACAATAAAAAAAGTGGAGCGACAGTGCAATATAAACGAGATGTTGAATCTAATAGAATCAGAAAATCAAGAAACAAAAAATGTCGTTTAAGCTTTGCAGTTGCTATAAATTTGGAAGTTTTGAATTGGAACAAAACGTAAGCTTTTGTTTATCGTAAATTTACAATAGTCCAAATGCAATTTCTTATTTTAAGCCCAATTTTTCAAAACGTGAATTGTTGTAATTTTTAATTGTAGCGTTATCTATTGAAATTGGAAAGTAAATGTGTTTTTGTCTTTTTGATTACTAAATTGTAGATTGCTAGACTATATACTTAATCATATGTAAAATTGAGTCCCCTCTACGATATGAGCCATGTGCGGTCGCTCACCTCGCACAACCTCAAGGACACCCATGATGCCACCTAAGTTATGAACACTTTTAAATGGACCTGAAGCATGCAAAATGAGCCTTCTTAGAAAGATTTTGTTTAAAATTTTTATAAATTTTTACTAAATAGTAATTATTGACAACTTTTTACAAAGATCTTATTTCAAAAATGTATACATTAATAATTTATAGTAATTATTACCATACTAAAAAAATTAATATTAAAATATGGATAAAACATAGTAATTGTACGTGAAGATAAGATATATTTGATTAATAAATAAATAATATATATATTTATATATATACACACACTCTTATCTAGATATCATCATCACTTCATATATATACGAGTGGCAATTTTGAATAAAAACATAGTGAAGGAGAGAGATGGAGGGTGAAGCATATAATTTCATTTTAGTTTGGAGTGTAGCTTTGGCATCTCTTCTCTACTCTCATAATGTTGGAATGTTTTTTGCACCAGGTACAACAAGATTCTTGTCTTTATTTCCAGTCATATTTCTCTTTTTTTATCTCCCTTTAAGTCTTCACACGATGTTCCTTTGTGGTCCAACCTTCTTCGTCTTGTCATGGCTTGGAAGCTTCAAGCTCATTCTTTACGCTTTTGGTCAAGGCCCTTTGTCTTCACATCCACCCCTTCCTTTATCTCAGTTCATGTCTACAGCTTGCCTACCCATCAAGATAAAAAATAACCAAGTTTACTCATCTCAAGATTTCACAAAAAAACCCCAGAGATCCCCCAAAGATTATGCTCTTAGGGTTCTTCTCTTATTGGTTGCAGTTAAGGCTTATGGATATAGAGAAAATCTTCATCCTTTATTCGCGACCTCAATTTATGCCTATTATATCTTCTTCTCGCTTGAGTTACTCCTAGCTGTGGCAGCATTTTTTGCTCGAATCCTAGTTGGTGCTGAACTCGAACCACAATTCGATCAGCCTCACCATGCTACATCGGTCCAAGACTTTTGGGGTAAAAGATGGAACCTCATGGTTTCTAGCATACTACGCCCTACAGTCTACTTTCCAGCTCGCCAGATCTTCGGTCATCTGCTTCCTGCAGGATGGTTAGCAATTCCTGCTGTTTTCTCAACATTTTTAGTGTCTGGTATCATGCACGAGATGATATTTTACTACCTTGGCCGGTTAACCCCAACATGGGAAGTTACTTGGTTCTTTGTAATTCAAGGCGTTTGGGTTGGAACTGAGATAGTGCTCAAGAAACAAATAGGTCAGAAGTTTGAGCCACCTACCATTGTATCCAAGATATTATCATTGGTGTTTGTGATGATTACAAGCTTTTGGCTGTTCTTTCCGCCATTCATGAGGTTAAATCCATTTGGAAGAGGCTGTAGAGAGGTATTGGCATTTGGAGGTTTTTTCAAGCATGGCCAACTAATTAGCCCTGACGAGTATTCATGTCCATATTTTTAGAACGGACATATATATATTTATACATAAATAAATAATAAATAATTGTAGCTAATATTTTATGTGTTTGGCAAAAGTATTTGCCTATTTGGTTACTTTTTATTTTTTATATGAATGTTTGGTAAATTTTATTGGAAGTTTTTAAAATGTAGTGTAAAATTATATAAAAAGGGTACCTGTATAAATTAATAATCACGATGACAACTAAATTAAGAGCAATTCTTTTAATTAATTTAGTTAGTTCGATTTTTTTTAAACACTATATTTGTATCTTTTAAATTTAGAGTTTTTTGTTTAAAAGAAAAAACTAAAAGTTTATACTTTCAAACAAAACTTTTTGTTTATATCAACCAATTTGTTAAAAACTAAAAATTAGAAATTTACAAAACCACGAACCAAACACCCGATGTCATTGACTGCCAAGAAATACAACTTTATAGGTTAAAGTATAAGAGTAAATTTCATGAATGGTCCTTATTAGAGGTAATTTGCTTCTATAATTTACACAGGATGAACCTAATGAAAATCAAATCAAAACCAAAACCAAACCAAATCAAAATTAAACTTGTTACCTTGTAATCGAAATCAAAACCTAATGAAAATCCCGATTTCAAAATCAAATCAAAGATAAAAATCAAAACCTAATGAAAAGCTATATTCCAAAAGAAAAATCAAAACACTTTGATTTAGAAACAATTCCAAAATCAAAACCAAAGACGAATATCAAAATCAAACATGAGGAACCAACCACCCATCTATGAGACCCAATTCAAAATCAAATGTGCAGTGTTTCTGAAACGACCAACGGTTTTTGGAACACTCTGATTTTAGAAACGATTTTTGTTGGCGGTGACACCGATTCACAGGTTATCTGAAACAATTTCGGAATAATGATTGAATAATCAGTTGAATGCAACGATGGTGGTGTGGTGGCTCCGATTCACGTCATTGACGGTGGTTCTGCTCCTATTCATGATGTTTTTCGAAGGTTGTTTCGTGTCGGTAGGTGTTGATGTATCGTTGATGGTAAATGAATGAGGTTGTCGTCCAGTATGGTGGGGATTTCTCTCGACGTCGGTGCTGTGGTGATGGCGGTGACTAGCAATAGAGGTGGTCAAGAGGAAGCAACAAATGAGTGGTTGGTTTGGATGTCGACGATATGGGATCAATTTATGATGAAGTTATGTCATCCAAGATAATTGAAATAGAAGATGCCTGGTTTGGATAAGGGGTGGGCACTAGGTATAACATGGATAACGTGTTGTATTTATTTTTTTAAGTTTTAATAATAAAAATAAATGTTAAAAATACTTTAAAAAAAATAGATAAGTGTGAAAGAGTATTTTTTTATGTTTGGTAAGGACGGTATACGCAATAAAATAAATTCTATGGAGCTGTCTGTATTAAAAAAAAATAGGGATCAAACACACAAGTTATCCAAAACCATAAGGACCAATCATTTAATTTATTTAAGAAAATTAAAAACTATCAAAATCTATTGAACACGACAATACTCTCAATAACATCTAACAGTGAATAAATTTATATAATACTAGGCGAATGCTCACACATTTTGCAGAAAAAAAAACAAAGTTTAAACAAAACTAAAATGAAACAATTAAAGAAAAATACATCAACGTCAGCAAAACACAATTTTAGAATCAATTAATCTTAATTTTTAGAAAATAATTAAATTGTTTATTTTGTAATTATTATATTATTAATAAACATTATAATTAATTAAAGTAGTATGGATCTATATCAATATGGATCCTTTGGAATCCAAAATTTAAGTAATATGGATCCACTATATTTTAATATGGATAGGATTCGAAAAGTGCAATATGGATCCAATGATTTCAATATGGATCCATTTGGTTTTGTTAGATCTCAGTTTGGATAAATACATATTCGTCGGATTTCAATATACATCATTTTTGGATTCCAAAATGTCAATATGGATTCATTTGTGGGTTCATGACTCGTGCAACATATCATTCCATCTAGTTGACATTGACTTAATAACGTTCTAGTTACAGTGGACCAAAGTTAACTATTTCTCTATAATACAGGACCATTAACAAAATTTTGTCTTATGTTTCTACACCTATTGATGTTTGTGTGGATGTACGTAGAGAACTTCGATAAAAGCTACAAAAGTGACTCATAAGTACAATCGATTGAAGAACTTTCGAAGTTGGTTCTTTCCTTTGGCGGTGGTTTGTCAAACTGATCGGCACTAAAAGCAATAATACCAACACAACCTTAAAAGATTGAAATCCACCAACGTTGTTTGTTTCCGATAGTATTCTTTTAGCATCTTCCCAAAAATGATAAAAATATTTACCCATAAAACATATTTATTGATAATATAAAATCCAATAAGTATTACTAATCAGTTTCTATAAAAAAAAAGTGATATACATTTAAAGAGGTTTACACGTATATTCAACATAGTTTACATATATGTTTGATGGCTGAGAATAAAGTGAACTATAATGTTGCAGTTAGTTTTTCAATTTTCTTATTTAAAAAAAAAACAAATTGTAATATTCCACCTTTTTCTCATATTTAACGTTTTGCAAAATATAACCTATATTTTCTGACTTCACCCACAAACATTTTTGAATGTATTTGTTTGGTTCACTCATGTACAATATAAAAATATTTATTGGTTTTTTCATTTTTTTGAAAAAGGGGGTGGGGTATAGAAAATTAGGCATGTTTATGTACTTCATCAATAATATTGAAATTGATCATCTTAAAGTAGAATTTATCTGGATTCTTGAATGTTGTCTATTCCTTGAGTTTTTGTTGTACAAAGTCATAGTCTTAAGTTTAACCATTTCATGGGAAAAAGATTACTTAAACAGTTTCATCAAACAATAATTGTATTTTCTTTTACATCCAAGTAATCCTCTTTATATGAAAGACCTTTGCATGAACAAAATAGTCCTTATGTTTCTCAAGAAGTCCAAACATTTCCCTTTCTTTTTGAATGGAAGTCATTACAAAGGAAAAAGAGAGAAAACTGAATGATGAAATGTGAAGTAGTATAGGGCACTCATCGTTGAGATTATTAGAATCCAAGGTAACATTTAATAGTTTACATAACATATTTTATGCTAAAGCATTTATCAATAATTATTAAAAAAGTTTTGGAAAGTCGTTGGAAATATAAAAGGACATGAGAGTTTCAAATGGATGTAGTTTTTAAAAATATGCATCTTTTATAAGTATACGAGGCGAATGTCTGCGCGTTGCGCAGAAACACCTATATAGTTGAAGTCTTTACAAATATATGTTTTTTTAAATATAACAACAACGTTGTTGTTAAATTTGATATAATAATTAATATAATAAATTGATATAATATGTTAATTATTTTGAATTATATGATAATATATACATCTATTATAACTGCATAATCTCAATCGTTTGTATGACTTCTACCCGCGAGTTATACATGAATAAAATTAAATATAATATACAATTTAATGTTATTTATAGTTGTTGTTATTGTTAATTAATTTTTTAAAATTTATTTGCTTAATGTTTTAATTTCTATCATTATAATTATTTAAAACATCAAACATTGTTTTTTTGATTTTAAAGGTAACAATATAATCATTTATATAGAGTTATTATTAACTATTATTATTGTAAGTTATTTTAAGCTACTTATTTGAAAATTTTTAACGATTATAAAAATATATTTAGGAAATATTTTAGTTTAATTGAGATTACAATTTAGTTTTTGCATTTATCACTACAATTTATCACTTTTAACTAATTACAAAATATTCTTTGGTTGTTTAAGTAGAACTGAAATTTATATTTAAGTTGACACTGTAATGTTATATTTAAATTAAAATTTTAAGTATTTTGTCCAAACTGTTTAAAAGTTGTAGCTTTAAACTGATAATGGTTTACATACAACAACATTTTAAATCTAATAAATTAAGTATAATATGTTAAAAGTTAAAGACATAACTTTATAAGTAGAAGTAAATATATTATTTTAAAATTAAAGTTTAGTTTCATTATGATTACACTTTAGGTTTGATATTTATTTAACCTTATTAACCAACTTATAATCATTATTAGGAAGACACTACAATTTATCACTTTTAACTATTTACAAAATATTTTTTTGGTTGTTTAAGTTAAACTAAAGTTTATATTTAAGTTGACCCTGTAATGTTATATTTAAATTAATAATTTAAGTATTTTACATAAATTATTCCAAAATTGTATCTTCAAAATGATAATGGTTTACACCCAACAATATATCAAAACTAATAAATTAAGTATAATATGTTCAAAGTTAACAAACATAACTTTATAAGTAGAAGTAAATATATTATTTTAATATTGAATTTAGTTTATATATGATTACACATTAGGTTTGATATTTATTTAACCTTATTAAACAACTTATAATTATTATTAGAAAGAAATTGAAAAGTCGTGGGAGTTTCAAATGAATGTGGTGAAAGGAAAAATGCATGGAAGTTTCAAATGAATGTGGTGAAATGAAAAATGCTTCCTTTATAAGTATATAAAGACTAGACGAATACCCGTGTGTTACACAGAATACAACAATATGTTTGAAATCTTCACAAATATATTTTTTTTAAATATATCAATGACATTGTTGTTATTATTATATAATATATCTTATAATAAGTTGATATAAACATTGTTTGTTTTGAATTATGATAATATAGACATCTTTTATAATTTTTCAAATCTCAATTATCTCAAAAGTCTCTACTGCAGGTTACTCATGAATAAAATTTAGTATAATATACGGTTTAATGATATTTATAGTTATTGTTATGATTAATTAATTTTAAAAAGCTTATTTGCTTAAAATTTTAATTTATATCATTGCAATTATTTAAAACATCAAACATTGTTTTTGTTTTTAAAGCTAACAATATATTTTTTGTGTATAATGTTACTTTTAACTATTGTTGTTGTAAGTTATTTAAAATAAT